AACACCATACCTTGCAAAAATTGATCCTTTAGAAGTAACCAACAAAAAAAATTTAGCATTGAGTTGGGTGGACAATGTGAAGACAAAGTTAAACCGTTAACCAACTTTTAAACGTCTTCTAAACATTCTTACGTAAATCTCGTTTAAAAGACGTTTAAAAAACGTTTAAAAGAAATTTTTGAACGTAACTTTTCAAAAAAAAGGGTATAATCTGTTTTTTTTTTTTTTTTAAGCAAAAGTTTGGTGCTCTTTTATAAAACTGCGTGTTAACATTATTTTTAATTGTTTTTTAATTTCTTTCATGACCACAAAGCTGATAATAATCACCAGGCTTGTTTCTTTGTTTAATATTTTACTTGTTAATTAAAAAAAAAAATCCAAAATTGAATTTGGAATTGTGTTGGACTTTAGTACTGATTTTTTTTTTTTTAATATGAGCAGCCGTGGCGCAGTGGTAGCGCACTTGCCTCAGAAACGTAAGATGTGCGGTTCAAACCCCACCACTGGGCAAGTTTTGCGACATCGTTTAGGAAGTAGGCGTGAACTTTTTATTAAATGCTCTTCAGCGGTGCTCTGTGATAAGACCGTAAGGACTTTTTGGGGCACCTTAATCAACTTAAAAAAAATAAAGTTATGTACCTTCCGTTTGTTTTATATTTTCAAATCATTTCAAAACACAAAGTAATATTATCAAAAAGTAATTAAGTTGTTTAACAACAAGAGCAACAAAAATTGTTGAGGATGATTTTTACATCAAGTCAGCATACCCTATTTGAACTGGACCAACCTCTCCCGTCGTTGTACTTAGAGTATAAACACTTTTTTCCTAAATTATAACCCAATATTATTTAGTTTTATGCACTAAAGTTATCCTAAACTTTTCCGCTCCGTTTTTTTCTGGAAACAGAGTATAATTACCATCAACTTTGACCTAGATACTCGTTAAAACTCCCTTAGCCTTTAAAGAAGCTCGTCCAACTGCTCTTCTTCTCCACTACCTATTCCACTAACAGAAGAGTCCAAGCCACTCTCGTAATCATTGCTATCTAACACTTAATCCAAAACTTTATCTAGGAATATTGCATCTTCTTTATGTAGCCATTTTTAAAACTTAATCATACTTCAAAACTTAACTTTTGTATTTACAACGTATAGAATTTCCGGATAACTAACTTTCTCTAATTGATTACTCAATTTGAAATAACTTGTAGCAAAAATCACGTTAAAATGCTCTATTTGTTATCTATCTTGTCACTTAAATAAAAATACTAAAATATTTTATATAGAAAAGACGAAATTGTATGCAGTTTTAGTTATATAAAAAAACATTGTCACATATTAGTCAGTATTGTTATCGAGATCAACCAATAGTTGCAATTCAGATGATAATGAAATAGACTTTTTTTATTGTTGTTGCTATAAACTTGTTTGCACGATTTTATAATTTTTTATCTCAGCCACTACCTTTTTTTTCTTCTTTTTCTTTGAGTCGCTTAGCAGCTTTAACAAATTATAGTTGTTTACTTTCGCATTTTTCTCTTTCCTGTTGTATTTCGTCTTGGTGATATTTCAGCTTTGCTGATTATGCTTCTTGAGAAGTTAAAACAATGTGTTTATACCTTCTCTGTTCGCTATATTTTTCCTAAGAAAATGATAAATAGTACTATTGAAATACAAGTTAGTAAACTTTATGCTTCATTCAGAATTTTTATCAATTTGTACATAAAAAATCTGTTACAGTTGCGAACTAAAGTTTAAATAATAATTTTTATTGTATATTACTATTAACAAAAACACGATAGTACAATACTAACCAAAGAACTAATGTTTTTAGTTGAGTTAACTGATATATCCTCAGTTACGTGTAGATAGTTTGGAAAATATGCATCGCTATGCATAGCGTGAGGATTCTACACAACTTAAACTCCGATGTAATGTTGATAGTTGTCATTGCTTTTTTCCAAGTTGAAGCAAGTATCCCTGCAAAATTTGAACAACAAGTTATAATTCCTGGAAACTGATCCATCAGATCTTGTGCTGTAGAGCGATTATAATCCTTCAGTGGCTTGAATAAGGTGCGGTCGCTTGGTTAAGGCCATCTAGATCTATCTAGACCCATCATGCATCTAGATCTGGATAGCAATATCAATTAGCTCAATAAAGTTGTAAGAATCGTGCTCATCCAGAATCAATAATTGAGGATGTTATTTTGTGAACTATTGTTTTGCTAGGCCCTGTTTAGTCCAACCATATTGGAGCAACTCTAATATGTTTTCCGGAGGCGCGAACTCAGTGTTAAAAGCCCCATAGTTACCTAGATGTCTTTCACTTAATTATAACCTAGGGTGGAATAAACTTGCACTGTGCATCCACACAAGCAATAAAAGTGACTCTCGAGTTCCACTCGTTCGACTATGGAGATTTTTTGTGCCTTTTTGTGCAACCACTTTTCTTGGTTTTACATCAAGTTGAAGACCAGTTTCATCCATATTCCATATGGATTCTGGTTTAACTTGAAACCATATTTCACCATAACGTCATTCAAAGCACCAAAGTAATTTGAAACTTTATCTTTATCCATACACCTATGTCGAACTGAAGCTGTACCCTCAGGTTGTCGCAGAGTAAATTTATGCCCATGCCGGTGTGTATCTCTAGTACAACACTTATTGCTTGGAAGTCCATTTTTGAAGTTGAGTTTATGTTTTGCGGCAAGTTTCCCAGCATAATTCAAGAATTGTGACTTTTCAAAACCTACCCCTTACTTTGCTCTATTGCTAGCATAATCAATAAGTTTTTCTTCCAGAGCAAAAGGTAGGGTAGGTTTTCTTCCTGGCTTTGCTTCAATAACAATTTCTCCAGAAAGTTTGTCTCTCAGTGTTGTACGTTACGCATTGTACAATATTGTTGCCTTACGCACTGAAAATGATGGCTCTGATCTGACTTGCTTAATTACACTCATCATATTTTCATCACTCTATTTCAGGAATTTGCCTAGTGTCTTAACAGTGACTGATTGATCAATGGAATGATTGGAACCATTAACACGACTTAAAGAAACATCAATTATTGGTTGCTGTTTTATTTGACAAATGTCAAGAGTATTATCACCAAATTTTGAAGGATTTATACCATCATGAAGAGGAGTTGTATTATAACATATTGTAGTCTCTGGTACAGAAGCAATCTTTTCAACCGATATTTGGTTCTTTCTGACATTCGACATCCCCCACATCTTGTTTTAACCATGTTTTTTTTTTTCAAGACAATACCTAGATAAATTAAGTTGCAGTTTGAATCTCATATTAATTTAAAAATGTGCACCAAATTTACAAGTGCTACAAATATTAACACGTGGTGAAATCAATATGTTAGTGTTTGTAACCTTATCCCAACCCTTGAACTTCACAGTACTTAACTTACAATAAAGTAAATAAGCATTTAGCTAAGTAATTACAAAAGTGTATAAAAGAAGAGTTAAAACATTCTTATTATGCTTAAAATGAGTTTGGATCTTTTGAACCCAACGTCTTGGACCTAATGTTTTAGTTATTTTAATAAATAAAACAAGCGTAAATAAAAAATCCATTATTTCTTACCACTAAAAAATTATTTTTAAAAAAAAACACAAAGCATAAATAGATAAAATTCCAAATTCTTTTTTATCAATAATTATCAGGAAAAGGAAATGCAATAGGAGTCAAAGTTTACTTATTTGCGATACTTTATATTTTCTTTATCTAGCTAATTTATTTGGTTTTGATGAACATTAGCTTTTTATACAATTACTCAACGCAGACCCATAGCAATTTATTTTTTAATTAATTTCTTAATAACAATACACAAAGAACGAGTATTGTTTTGAAGGCAACAAAAAACAAATTAACGTGGATATCATCAATTTTTAATAAAGCAATTATCAAGTAAGTTTGGGGTCATTTTTGCGATAATGCCAATGATGTTAAATTAAGGGTAATTAATTTATAAAATAACTTCCTAAATATTATATAAAATGAAAATACATAAAAAATACCTCTTTCTAAGCTTTCAAAAAGATTGCGTTCTTAATATGTATCCTTATAAAATTTTGCGATTTTATTTTTTAATTATTTTTTAAATATGTCATCCCAATTTAATGAAAAAATAATCAGGGTCACAGCGAAAACTTTTTTTCTGTTAAAACTGCTGGTAGAGTAAGTCTTAATATATTATGCTGCATCTATTCTCGCCCACCTGGGAGAGATAAAATGCATTGGGTGACAATATATTAATTATGTTGGCGAAATTGAGTTAATTTGGTAGAATAAGCAGAAAACAACATTTTTCATATTCTACCATTTTAAACAATTATAAATGTTATTACAATCAGAGATTAAACAGTGGAGAACGAAATTATATTATAATTTAACATGCATAATAAATAATTATTTTTGTAGATTTGCATCAGCTGGCTTGAGCAAATTATGTAGCAAAAAATTACCAAAAACCAACAAATTTTCCTTAAGAGATTTTTATTTGCAATTGTTTTGAGGTCAAAATTGTTTTGATGTTGATAAGGCTGGTTTGCTGTTCTAAAAGAAAATCTTTTTGTTGGTGCAGAGTGTGATTTAATTGACATGTAAGCAATTAAAGATAGTATGCAAGTTTGAGTAATAAAATTTGTAAAATAACTCTAGTTAGTTAATTAATAGCAAAAATCTTAACCTGTATTTGTTAACCTATAAACATTTTATGAGCATATTTTTGGTTAGTTATTTTCCATTGTCAAAGTTGTTTTGCACAAAGTTTACAATCAAAACTTACGTATATTTCAATGTTGAAACAAAACTTTGTAATTTTTAAAAATTTTACTTAATAATATAAGATATATATTTTTTTAACTTTGATAAATTTTATTTATAATAAATCTATAAACAATTATTTACTCATTTTACTTTCAGCAGTTTTTTGACCAATTCAAAAATGAACAATAATGTATAAACTATATATATAATTTTTAGGGGTTGGTAATGGTAGTTGCATTTATGGTGGGCTACAAAATAGAAACCACTGTTACATAATCTTTAACAATGATACACAAAATTGGTATAATTCTCTTTTATCATGCCGTCGACTTGGAGAGTTGTTAAGTGTTACAGATCAAGTAGAAAAAGTTTTTATTGATGAGCAACTTCTTTTAATAGGAAAAACTAATTTAGCAAATAATATCACAGATATCATGCACTACTGGATAGGTTAATTTTTGTTATAAATACATATTAGCTGTTCTATAAATGTTTTATAATAAAAAATTTATTACTAAATTCAAGTAACTTATATAGGTCTTAATAATTACCCAACGAAGAAAAATTTTACATGGTCTGATAATACAACTTTAATGTTTACTTATTGGAATTCTGCAGAGCCTAACAATGGAAATAATAATAATGAGGCTTGCGTAGAAGCAACATATACTGGTTGGAACGACATTACTTGTGATACCGTAATGAGTTTCATTTGTAAAGCTAAAATAGGTAATATATATATATATATATATATATATATATATATATATATATATATATATATATATATATATATATATATATATATATATATATATATATAATTGTATACATATATATAATTATATAAATATGGATGTATATATATATGTATATATATATATATATATATATATATATATATATATATATATATATATATATATATATATATATATATATATATAATTGTATACATATATATAATTATATAAATATGGATGTATATATATATGTATATATATATATATATATATATATATATATATATGTATATATATATGTATATATATATATATATTTATATATATATATATATGTATATATATATATATATATTTACATATATATATATATATATATATATATATATATATATATATATATATATATATATATATATATATATATACATAAATACATATATATATATATATATATATATATATATATACATATATATATATATATATATATATATATATATATATATATATATTTATATATATATATATATATGTATATATATATATATATATATATATATATATATATATATATATATATATATATTTATATATATATATATATATATATATATATATATATATATATATATATATATATACATAAATATATATATATATATATATATATATATATATATATATATATATATACATATATATATATATATATATATATATATATATATATATATATATATATATATATATATATATATATACATATATATATATATATATATATATACATATATATATATATATATATGTATATATATATATATATATATATATATATATATATATATATATATATATATATATATATATATATATATAATTATATATATATATATTTATATATATATATATATATATATATATGTATATATATTTTATTATTTTCAAATTTCTAAAATGAACAATAAATACCATAAATTGCCGTGACATCATTCATTAATTCAATTTCAAAAAAAAATTGTACTAATTGAATTTTAAAACCAGCTATAAAAAAATTAATAAATAATAATCTAAGAAAAGTAACTACAAAGCAAGTTAATTTTGCTAAAGTTTGTCAAATAGCAAATGAATATTCTTTATATGGAACTTTATTTAAGAATTTTAAAGTTTTAAGTTATACGTCTGTTAAATTTAAACGTTGCCTTGACAACACTCAGAGAGTGTTGTCAAGGCAACGTTTTAAATGTAAAACACTTTTTGACAATCTAATGTAAAGTCTTGTTGCTGTTTATCTTTTTTTGTGTTCAAACTAGAGATAAAATGATTTTTTATAGGTTCTTGTGTACTATATTTTTTGCTTTTTAAGCACTAAATGCGATGTTTAATAACTTTTCTTCTAATCCAGGTTTGTTAATAGATCTTATTTCTTATTAGAAGTACTAACGGTTTTATCAAAGATCACCGTAGAACTGCATTTCACCAGGAAGTTGACTACTCCCTCTTTGCTAATAATGCATATATGACCAGAACCGGCTCTGGTTTTTTATGCATCATTGATGACTAATGAACCCAAATCTTTTGTTCTGAAGCCTTAATAGTAACCAATGCACTACGGCTGCAATATAAATGGCGTTTTCCATGAGGATATCATATTCTGTACCTAGGACTTTAAAGTTCCTATATATCTAGAGCCAAATGTGTGTTTCTTTAAATAATTTGTTGTTTTAAAATTGAAATTTATTCCTTGTTATATTACTATATATCATACTCTATTTTCTCAGTTTCGATAGTATATTGTATTGCAGGGTGTTGTTTGTTTAAGATATTTAGTAATTGTTCTGCTTCTTGAGTGTTGGAAAATCTAGCGTGACAATTGTAGCGTGACAATTGTAGACAATTGTCTACATATCATATATAAAATTTTAGGTCAAATGGAGGATTTACTGCCATTACAATATTGAGAGCGTTTTATTTATGATGTTGTAAAAATGATTTTGCAAGTACGACCATAAATGGAAGGCTATAGGACCAGAATTCTCAAAATCATGGATTTCGTTGTTTCACAGGAAATAACAACGGTGTTAAAAAAGTTGAGTGGAATATTTGTAGGAATCATTTTAATTTAATTGGTCTATAAGAATTCAAGTGGCTTATTTTAGAGTTATTTATGGATACAAGCTTATAACATTAAATGAAACTTGAAACTCGTTTTTGTCAATCTCCAATAAATTTGCTTTACTATTAAAACCAAAAGACCTGTTTTATTTTTGTATAAGACAAGTTAATTTCTTTACTAAGTAGTTTGATATCTCATAATTATCTTAATAACTAAATTGCCACATAATAGTCAACTTGGAACTTATTTGATTGAATGCAAATGCTCAAAGAGTTAGAAAGGCAAAACTAAACTTCGAATTTGAACTCGACTCAACAACATCTAAAAGGTTTAAATGAGGTCAGTCTGCATTAGCCACACCTAATAAGTTTTGCCTACAAGAAATAAAGTGGGAAAACGTAAAAAAAATTAAAGTTGAAACAAAAAAAATTTTAGACCAAAGCTTTAGAAATACAGAGGTTCCAATGTTCACCATGACAGAATAAATTTAGAAGACAGTCAGTTTGTGAAAACTAAAGTTTGGACTTTGTTCTTTACATTTATACGTAAACAAGCAATATTTTCTTACTTGTATTTTATTACAAGAAGCTTTTTCATTAAAAAAAAACCAATCAGTTTTTGGATATTATTGTTTTGCTTGGCTTCTTTTTTCCTTAATATATATATTTATATATATATATATATATATATATATATATATTTATATATATATATATATATATATATATATATATATATATATATATATATATATATATATACACATATAAAAATATATATATATATATATATATACACACATATGTACATATATATATATATATATATATATATATATATATATATATATATATATATATATATATATATATATATATATATATATATATATATATATATATATATATATATATATTTATATTCTTTCAAAGTTCTGCTTTGGATATTGTTTCTGCTTCATGATCAAAAGGCAGTAATACTTGTTTAATTCTAAATTTTAAACAATTTTATCAGTTCTTTTAACTTTAGATTTACTTACTCATGTGCACTATATTGGTTGCGAAGACAAAGACAAATTATTTAGTTCAAGTAGACCAGTAAACAAAAAATAATTTTTCTCATTGTACGAATGTTTATTGTACTGCCTGAGTACCTCTGTGCAATTAAGTGGAACTAGTTGTGAATATGCATGTCTAAGCCACCACTGAATTGAGCAGGCCTCTATAATCATGTTAAGTTTTGCTCTATTTCTCTATATACTTAATCGATTTTTCCTTGCTTTCGAAGTCAGACTATGATAACGCAACCAGTTGATCAAACTTATTTTTTGATTGCTTTGATAATGTTGCTTACACAAGTTAATCTGCTAAAACTTTTTGTTCAATGAAAAAGTTAGTGATTTAGACCCATAATCACCTTTCTAAACTCTAGGTCTCGTAACTTGAGGTCTTTGAATCTCGGGTTCAACTCAGTTGCAATCTTTTGATATGCAACCTTGACATTTTCTAGGCGTGTCTCAAATTCTGTTCTAATTATCGACTCGAATTTTAACACATTGACAGGCTTACCATTTGAGCTCTACATCGCATCAAGAAAGACAACAAGAAGCGCACAGAACGATAGGGAATGAAACATAAACCTCTCCACCCAGAAGTTCAGTAACATATCTGCAATAAATCAAACCCATTTTACTCAAATGTTTTGCCTTCACTTACACACACAAAAATTGTTTTCATAATTATGCTTACACACACAGGTACATTAACTCTCTCTCACATGCAATCGAACAGTCAGTAAGAAGTATATGACAGAAAATATACCAACAGGATGCAATAGCTTTTGCAATCTTTTTAATATGACAACAACGCGGATGTTCGTATAGCGACATTTGTGTTGTGTGTGGCGATGACATTGCTCAGTGGCTGTTTGTTTCTGCGAACACTTTTTATCATGTCCAGATTCAAGTTCCATCTGGTTTGAACAACTTGCATAAGCGACTCTTTTTTTTTCTAAGTTTTTTATTATTTTTAAATTCTGCAGCTTTTGCAGGACTGTATTGAGGCGATGTCAAGCGCACTGTTATGCATAGATACTGTGACAAATCAGCGACTGTTTTACTTGTACTATCTGTGCTAAGTGTGCTGACTAAATTAGACATGTTCAAATGCTGTTCAATATGAAGTGTTCTGCGCACAATAAGTCTTTTTGATTCTTCATTACTGTCAGATCATGGTTATGCAATTTAGATTGTTTGTCAATGTAATGTTCAGTAACTGCGGGGTAAATATGGTTACCCAGCGATGTCCAATAGTCTCTGGTAAGGGAAACAGTTTTTGAACTTTATAACGCCGTTGCCTTTAATGGTATCTCTTTCTTATACAATTCATGTAACTTTCTTGCATGGGTGCGTCTTGGCGGAGGCTCATACGTAGGGTCATTCGTTGAAATCCTAATAACATTATTTATTAAAATCACAATACTAATAAGCCTACAGTTTGAAGCTACCCACTTTGCAAAGGCATTTGGTATCTTGTCTTTCTCTTGTTTCTCTATAGGTTCTCCCGCGCGGTTTGAAATAAAAATATCCCTTTAAAAATTCGATACCTTGCTCCATTTTTATTATCTTATTCTGACAATGCAAATTTCTATCAAATTTTATTATTAATCTCTTGTAGTTTAAACATAACCAATAACATAAATTGACACAAATTTAAATTATTTTTTGATTGATTTATTATTAAAATCATTATTCGATTATATGCTAACTGATTGATTATTAAATAATTTTAAAACAATACGAAATAAACAAACAAGACTATAAATAAACATAACAAAAGTGCAAAAAACAAAATATTTTAAATATATTT